AGAAAGGGAAAATTTGTATTAAAATACCCACAAAGGAGATGTAAATATTCAAAAGCCAGCGCACGTACGCATGCACGCACGTAACTACAACTTTGAATGTGATTGGCTTATTGAACTGTCCGATAACAAACTGTCCAATAACAAACTGTCCGATAACAACTTGGCAATTGAATTAGTGGAAAATAGGAGTTTTTTAAACCAATCACAATCGACTAAATTGTAATTTTTATGATTACAGTCGTAACAACTTACGAGAACACATAACGTTTTAGAGACAGATTGCAAGTTTCATGTCACGTTTTTATATTAATAATAATAAATACCCACTATCCTGAAGTTTAAGCTTCATCAGAAATAAGATTCTCAAAGAAATGTTTAGCAAAGTTGTAGTTTCCAAGCTTTGCGTTGTGTAACATTAAAAATGGCGGCCCGAGAGACTGTCGCGTAGGTAAAAAGATGACTTATGTTTTGAGTTTTTACTAACTGGCGAACAGTACTTGCATTAGCCGAAGTATCAATATTAATGTGTCGGATCTCTAGAGTAATAACTTTTTTGTTTTTAAAGCAAAAATCATCGAAAGATTCTTTTACTTTACGGTCGCAATATTGGTGCCCATCAGGGGGACACCAAAGCTCTACAAATTTGAGTGAACGATTTCTCCGAACTGAGAAGGCGCGTACGAAAAACCACACAGACCTAAATGTTTGCGAAGTTGTTCATGTATATTTAAGGGAACTGTTATACAAGATGACTCAACACTAAGTTATCAAATTTTGATTTTCATGACTGGTTGTTATATCAGAAGAGCCTGCTACACACTTTATCACACGGAAAGAAAGGCAATCTACATGGAGTTAGTATAGAATGGAATATCAATCAAACTTCCTGGGGAAAAAGCCAAAATAAACGCCAAAAAACGCATCTAGCTACAAGCGAGAGGAAAAAAAAAACATTGGGGTCTCACGGGTTAACTAAAGAGGAAAGCAATTGTTAGAGCCGAATGGCATTAACGGGCATTATTAAACCGAGGAAGGTTAATCGTCGACATTTTAGTGGAGCACGCGTGGAAGTCGCGTGGGAACGCAAAAGAGTCAACAAAGGAGTCAAAAAGGAACTTGTGAGAAGAGGGAAAAGCTGAAGGCACTGGAGTTAACGTAGTAGAAATTAAAAGGCAGGTAAGAGGCTGACAGGGAACGCACGTTTCGCTAAGAATTTAATTGACATCCCGTTTTCCTTCCCTCTTTAATTTGATGCTCTTTGGACCCTTTTATCACCCTCGTCCAGCGTTAATCAGTCAATGCGACGCTCTCTTTTTTCCTACAGTACCTTTACAAGGTGTTTTAATCTCCTTTTTATGAGCTGTTTACGCCCGGGGGGAACTTCCGTATAAAAATGACAGGGGTGCTCGTCATATCTTTTAGGGGTAAAAAAAGCGGTTTTGGAACCTCTTAGGGTGTTTAGCCTCAAAAGGTCCACAGTGGAGGTTTTTGCGGTACCTGTGACAGGAGATAATGTGTTGCTTTAGTAGTAGTACCTCTTAGGGGAGAAAAATATATCAAGCCACGCCCACAAAAGAGGAACTTGGCACCTAC